GTTTGTTTCTATTTTCAGTGTTATCCGTTTGGGCCGGTTGGCCTCTGTGCACCCGAGTGTCAATCTATGCGCCTGAGTGTCATCTTATTACCCTGTTGGGGTTTGACACTTGGGTATTACCCTGTTGGGGTCCGACGCTTGGGTATTCCCCTGTTTGGGGTCTTGTATTTGTTTTAGTTGTTCTGTGGTTCGTTAGTTGTTTTGTGTTGTGTTTTATTCTAGCGCTGCTAGTCGGGTCTTAGGCGATCGTCTGAACTGTCCTCTCGTTTATTTTTCTTGTGTCCTTTCAGCTGTTGGCTGAAGTGTATTCAGCCTTTGGTTGCCTTGTATTTGCACATTTGTGCTTTGTGTTTTATATCAATTATATCGTTGGAAAAAAAAAAAGAGTGGCTTCAAACATTTTTCAAGGATAATATAGAATATTTTATATACTTTTTAGGAGTTTTATCAATACAAGGCCTGAAAGATGGGTAAACTATCAATGCGGGGCCTGAAAGATTTTTTTTTTTCAATTCGGGACCTAAATGTTATAAAACTATCAAATTAGAGACCCGAAAGATGGGTAAACTATCAATACGAGGCTTGAAAGATTATTTTTCTCAATTCGGGACTTAAATATTATAAAACTATCAAATTAAGTGTAGAATTAAAAAAACTCATAACACAATTAAATCTAGAGTTTAAAAAAATAATATTTAATTATTATATTTTATTTTCATATTCATTCACATTTTTTAAAATTTTGTATTCTTCCATCAATTTTTCTAGTCTTTAATTCAATTTTTCATTCAAACATTTTTACATAATTTATAACCATTCGTACTCTTGAGTGTTTATAATATTATTATCCTCATAAATATTTGTGTTTGTTGTTAAAAAGAATAAAAAAAAAATAATTATATTAAGTAAATAATTAATATGATATTTATATTTAAATTGACTATTATGCTTATTGAAATTTCATTCATATGCATTGATAGTTTAAAAATGTGAATGAATATGAAATAAAATCTAATAATTAAATATTATTTTTTTTTTAAAAAATTTTAATCACCAATATTTTATTTTTTTTTTATTTTAACTCTAAATTTAATAGTGTTTTGAGTTTTGTTAATTCTAGACTTAAATTGATAGTTTTATAACATTTAAGTCCTGAATTGAGAAAAAAAATCTTTCAGGCCCCGCATTGATAGTTTACCCATCTTTCGGGTCTTTAATTTGATAGTTTTATAACATTTAGGTCCCGAATTGAGAAAAAAAATATTTCAGGCCCCGCATTGATATTTTACCCATCTTTCAGGCATTGTATTGATAAAACTCCTACTTTTTATACATGTTATATAATATTTTAGATGTCTTTAATATATATACGAGAATAAGATTTATCACATATTTCTCCTCCAAAAATATTAGATACACATAATAAAAAGTTAATAGAAAAAATACAGATTTAAATATTATCTTCAATTTTTGTCTTATTATCACTTATATATAAAATTCTATTTTATTTGTTACATTTTACATTATAAATTCCATTTTATTTGTTACATTTTACATTAATCTCGATCTGTATTTGTAAAATTAATAAATCTGCATAAAGCATGGAATTGTAATGCGTACAATTTTTTTTTTTAATGGTAACAACTTATAAAAAAATAATAAGAAATACCAACATAATTCTGTATCATGTCATTATTTATTTTATATATAAGTGGTAAATTTTTTCTCAAAAAATTTATAATGTTATTATTTAGGCTTATGATATTTTAAATACTTTTATATAATATTTTATCATGTCATATTATATCTATATATACATATACACGTATATATATACATATTAAATTTAAATATTTTTAAACATGTTTTTTTTACTATAGAGTTTAGAAAACATGTTTCATACAAATGTAAAAGTTAAATATTTTTAAACATGTTTTCTTTCCAAAATAGTTTAAAAAAGTGGTAGGTAACTTTACATCTTTTAATAATAATAAATAAACTTTTATATATTTTTACATGTTTTTAATGTTTTAAACATGCAAACTTTATGTTCTTTTATACAAGTTAATTTTATATTGCTGATAATAAATTGATATACGACGATAATTATATCACATGTTAACCTATATATTTAGTTTATAATATTTATTTTGTTCTTTTAAAATAAGAAATGGTTCCTCACCACTCAAACTCGACATATTCCATCGAACTAGTTCATAAAGAAAAAAAAAAAAAAAAAAACTCTATATCCACTGGAGGAAATCCACGTTATCTTTATCCAATCTACTCTGTCTCACCTACAATTGTTTTGTCCTTTTCATCTGAAAATTGTTCGAGTCTTTGAGAGCAGAAGACAAATCGAGTAAAAAAGTCGAATAAATCATTAATTAGCCTCTGTCCGAGCATAGCCGTCGAGAAAGACTCAACCTTTAGTCGGAAGTTGGTTCCTGTTGGGGTAATATTCGTGTTCTTCTCTTCCCAATCCATGTTTTGTGTTTCGATGAGTTGATTTTCTTGTTGATTTCTGTTTCGCTTGACGTCTCTGGTTCTTGAGCTGGGCTTCTTGTTCTTGAAGAAAATTTTAATCATAAAATGTTTAAAGATCAAGAGAAATGAAGAAATTGGTTTTGTTTAGTTGTGATGTTGGTTTTGTAATGATTCTTTCTAAATTCGTGTTTTTCTAGATCTCTTCTAAGTTTTTGTTCTTTGCAGATCTTTGAGGCATGTAGCTTAAGAAATATATTGTCTTCATTCTTCTCTTTTATCCCTTTTCTTTACTTTCATACTGTCTTGATCTGTAGCTTAGTGACTCTTTGGTGTTGTTTATAGATGAAGTGGAGGCCATATCTCTTACTTATGGTTGATCACAGTTTATTACTTTTCCTTTTAGGTACTCTGGACCAAAATTCAGACATTCCATTCTTTGAACAATCCACATAAATTGGATAAGTATCGTGATGGGGTCTGAAGGTCCTGCTGCTTCCGCCGCCGTAACAATCCATGTGACGGGATTTAAAAAATTCCACGGGGTTACAGAGAATCCAACCGAGACTATTGTGAGCAATCTCGAAGCCTTCATGAACAAACGGGGTTTGCCAAAAGGGTTGATCCTAGGCAGTTGCACAATTCTTGAAACAGCGGGTCATGGAGCCCTTGTTTCTTTATACCAAACATTGCAGTCTGCTGTGAGCATGAATGCCGACATGCCAAATTCGGGTAGTGTTATTTGGGTGAGTTTTGCGGCCCGTTTTACACTTTTTTGGGTATTGTCTTGAGTGAGTTGCTTGAAAATCCTGGGTAGATAGGGGATTAGTGCTTCATGAAGATATAGTTTCTAGGAGAAAGAACTTATGTGGTTTCTTTTCGTTTGGCGAAACAAAACTTGTTTTTGTCCACTAATGGAAGAAGTGATTATTCTTATTTAATGTTTAATGCAGTTTTGGATTAGGACTAAAATTTTTTTCTTGATTGAGCATGTGGTTATCCATGCGAAACACAGTCTATCGTTTTGAGCTCCCCGTGGCCGTAGTTTTTGTTGACCACCTCAATTGCCATATCTGCTCATGTTTAATGTTCTTGGAACATTTACTTTAATAATGAAAAGAATAAGAGGAATAGAAGAAAAAACACATTCACTTTCAATTTCAACTGTTCAATATGCTAAATCTTTAACGTTCTTCATTACATTCTTCATTGTATAATTGAATTTTCCACACATTGATGGGCAACTTTATCTTTCCTACCTTGTTCTTGTAAACTTTGTTCAAAGGAATCCCATTTTTTTTGTAGGCATTTAACAAGTTCAGAGCATATCTGCATATAAATCTATAGATACCACCATCAATTTCAAACTTTCATCGTTACAAATTTTTATCACTTTTGAACATGAAAAATTTACCGTCATCACTTTATTTTGATGCATTTTCATGTTTTAACATTTGCCTTCTCATATTGATGCTTTGTTTGCAGGTTCATTTTGGGGTAAATAGTGGAGCAACAAGATTCGCTTTAGAGAACCAAGCTTTTAATGAAGCTACTTTCCGTTGCCCAGATGAGATGGGGTGGAAGCCTCAGGTTACACTCGTCTTAATTTCTTGTAATCTTATCCCAATTTTTCAAGATTGGAGAAGCTTGATTTAACTATGATTTTCATTTATAGAAAGTTGCCATTGTTCCAGCAGATGGTGGGATCTCACGAATTCGGAAGGTATAGTTCACATATATTTGCTTGCATTAATTTGTTTAGAGGCTTATTTTTACCTAGGCCAAGAAAAGAATCGTGGATAATTGGTGAAACCTACTGTGTTGAGTACTGGTTAATGACATACCAAGGTTTAGTTTCACGATAGCTTTGTCGACCACTAAAATGAAAGATGCTTGCTTTTTGCAGTTTTCATGTACGTTCTTTGTGTTTACCTGTTGCTTTTCATTTGCATTTGCATATACTTGTTTTGGTGTTTCGTGTATGGAGAACTGTGATTATTACTCCCTTAGTTTTAAAAGAAGTTTTCGGCTTACTTTTTTGTCTTCTAATATATTATTCTAACTATAATTTATATAAAAATTATATCAATACTTGGTTGAAAAGGGAAAAACAATAAGCATTCTTGATGACAATATGTTCTTATCAATTTCACATTCCATGCTCCCACTTTTGTGCAGTCTAAAAACCATAAATACATAAAATTTCAGTATAAAAAAAATTCAAAGCACTTTGGGGGGATTGCTTGCTAAGATCGCTCTAAGCATTTCACTTTTTAAAGAAACGTAAAATAAAAGAAAATGCAATGTTGAACAGCTCATTTGAGTTGCAAATTCGAACGTTCTGCCTTTCTTAAGGTGAATAAAATTTAGTCATCACCTAATTTTGCACTCTTTCATTTATTCAATTTTGTGAAGCCCATATCGACTTAGCTTGGTGTGGCAATGCTTACGGCTCTATAAGAGCATCTCCAATGTCCAAATGTAGTTGTAGTAAATTACACTTTACATCAACAAATTTAGCAAGGTCTCCACTTTTAATCATCCAATGCACAATTTTATCACAAATGTAGTGATGAGGTGGACATAATTAATGTATACAATGTAGAGAAGAATGTGATTCATCCACATTCTATTTCACATTCTATTCAACCAATGAAGAGAGAAAAGAGAAATATTATTATCATTTTCAAAATATCAAATTATTTAATTATTTTTTATTATTTATATTTATTTTATTTTGGCCAAGTGTACAATATTGTGTTTGGTTACATTATGCATTATTGGAGATAATTTTTTAGAGCATCTCCAATGCATAAATGTTGTTATCACATAAATTTTGACAAATGTCAATTATATAGCTGGATTGTGAACCACATAAGATATTTGTTAAGTTCACAACTTTAAATCTAAAAAATTATCTATAATGCACAGTGTGATATAATATTGTCCACTTGGCAAAAATTAAAAAAATATAAATAAAAAAACAAAAAATTTAAATAATTAGATATTTTAAAAATTGTAATAATATTTCTCTCTCATCTCTCAATTGGTTGATTAGAATGTGAAAAAGAATGTGGATGAACCACATTCTTCTCTACATTGTGGACATTAATTATGCCCACCTCATCACTACATTTGTGATTACATTGTGCATTGTGGTATTAAAAGTGGAGTCATTGCTAAATTTGTTAATATAAAATGTAATTTATTACAACTACATTGTGCAATTGGAGATGCTCCTAGATTTAATGTTGTGAACTTAACTATTATCTTATGTGGTTCACAATCCATATAGTTAATTGACATTTGTCAAAAATTTATGTAACTACAACATTTATATATGGAAATGCTCTTAAACCTCAGCTGTTGTATATAGGAGATATTCATTGTATAGTAACGTGATTTATTGTTTGCATCTTTTCAGTTCTCCTCAGTAAGCTATCCATAAAAAATTTTGGAATCCCTTAACGGGGATGTATTCAATTGAGATTCCAAGTAATATTTTAAAACTTTTTAAGAATTGAGATTTTATAAGATTTTGATATTTTGGAGGAATACTGTGAAATCTTAAGTTTGGAGGTGAGATTTGAAGTGAAATTTCGTATGTCTTTTTCTTTAG